ATCAAATGCGAGCCGAGTGAGCGGGTTCATGGGCTGACCCTGCCCAGTGGCCCTCTAATATAGAAACGATACTCCAGAGCACTGGTGTAGTTACATCACCTCAGGGTACTGGGTTGTAACTAATCCTTTTATTTTTTGTTTTTTTTGTTACTTTCATTAACTTTATTTATCCCAAAACTAAAATATTTTTTTAACATAGAAGGGTAAATACTTATAGAAGAAGTAAACTATATATGTCAATAAAAAAGAATAAAATTAAGAAAATGCACCGTTTAGACAGAACATAACTAGCTTTTCTACAACAATGAAAGAGAGAAAATTGACAAAAAGAATCTGATTAAAAATGTAATTGACAACGTTGCGGATATCTTATGGAAACGTTTAGAGAGAAGGAGGGACAAAACAATATCCAGGCGTATATCTTGTTCAATCGTTTTTTATAACTCTTAACATTTTCTTATATTTTTTGAGAAAAAAATTCGTCTATGTTATTAAACAAACCTATAAGCAAAATCAATAATATCACATTCATAAGCATCAATAATTCATTAGCTATGACGAATATTCTATTTTATATTTCCTAGACGAATAATTAATATTCAGGATCTCACTGAATGTATTTGTTGAAGATTGTTATTGTTGTTTTTGGAGAGCATGTTATTGAAGGTTCAAAATTTGACCATCAATAAATTAAACAATATTTTTTCGCTTTAAAAAAATCCAAATAGGATCTTCTGAATGACCATCCATTTGCGGCGTGCTGACGTTAGATCGTATTGCTTCAATTGATTGACGCCGTTATCGTACTAAGCCGTCTACAGGTATTTTACTGCTGGAATTTTGATTACCGACTTATTGAATAATTAATCTGCCGTCTAAAAGGGTAAATAACACTAAGCCCCCAAGCAATTTCAGCATTTTGAACGAAACGCCCAATAACTTTCAAAATCAAACGAAACCCCAAATAACTTTTTAGTTTTGCAGAAAACCCCCCAATAAGTTTCTGCTCTTAGGAGACGGCCCCCATAAATTAGAACCAGCAAAACAATATGGAGAGGCATTTTGAAAGTTGTTGGGGATTTAATGTAATTCACACAAAAGATATTGAGGGATTTATGCAAAGTTATTGGTGGTTCAGGGCCCGTTTGGTTTAAGTTTTTTGCCTAGGTTTTTGGGCAGAAAGCCTGCCAAAGTGTCACTTTTGGCAGGCTTTCTGCCCAAAACGCCACTTTTAGAGGCGTTTTGGGCAGAAAGCCTGCCAAAAGTGACACTTTGGCAGGCTTTCTGCCCAAAAACCTAGGCAAAAAACTTAAACCAAACGGGCCCTGAACCACCAATAACTTTGCATAAATCCCTCAATATCTTTTGTGTGAATTACATTAAATCCCCAACAACTTTCAAAATGCCTCTCCATATTGTTTTGCTGGTTCTAATTTATGGGGGCCGTCTCCTAAGAGCAGAAACTTATTGGGGGGTTTTCTGCAAAACTAAAAAGTTATTTGGGGTTTCGTTTGATTTTGAAAGTTATTGGGCGTTTCGTTCAAAATGCTGAAATTGCTTGGGGGCTTAGTGTTATTTACCCTTTTAGACGGCAGATTAATTATTCAATAAGTCGGTAATCAAAATTCCAGCAGTAAAATACCTGTAGACGGCTTAGTACGATAACGGCGTCAATCAATTGAAGCAATACGATCTAACGTCAGCACGCCGCAAATGGATGGTCATTCAGAAGATCCTATTTGGATTTTTTTAAAGCGAAAAAATATTGTGAACCAGTTCCAGCTTGAGCCAGTAATAAAGGCAGCAGTGAAGACGGTGAACGATGATCCTCACAAGCAGCGCCAGAAGGGACTCGTGCCACACACAGCCCCTAATGGCGAGATTCTTTGGGTTCATCCAGATCTGATCGGAGACGAGCAATGGACTGAAACCTCTTCCAAGAAAAAGTCAAAAGGGAAAGATAAATCTTGTTATGGAGCTTCTGCCATTCCAGGAAAAGATGACGACAGAATTCCGGCCTTCCCACTTTCTTAGGTTTTTGGGCAGAAAGCCTGCCAAAGTGTCACTTTTGGCAGGCTTTCTGCCCAAAACGCCTCTAAAAGTGGCGTTTTGGGCAAAAAACCTGCCAAAAGTGACACTTTGACCCCAAGAACCTAGGCAAAAAACTTGAACCAAACGGGCCCTCAGTGTGATCTTGAGAGTTATTGGAGGGTTACTACAAAACGCTGAAAGTTCTTAGGGGTATAGACATAATTTATCTTAATAAAAACTCTGCTGAGTACCACATAAATATTTGTTAAATTGTTATTTTTTTTAATTTTTAGTATAATATTCCAGCATAATTCTTTGTAATTTTCGGGTTTCGCAAATTTTGTGTGTGTGTTTCTTTTTTTTTCCCATTTTAATCTACATATATCAGCTAGATTATGGATGATTAAACCAAACATGACTAGTTTTTCTAAACAAATTTTTAATGGAGATAATTGAATCTATAACTAAGAGTATGTTTTAGCATATCAACCACCAGCGATGGTTATCTTGTATGCTTGAAGAATAGTTTTTTTTTATGTTATTATTATTTCTATGACTTATTTTGCTGAGAATTATTTTTTTATTTGAATAATTTGGGATCAATCATGGAGATTACTAATGCTCTCTTTTCACATAATTAATTAATTAATTAGAAGTGCACCCAACTCAATGCGATTGGACTTTGATAGAAACATGTCTTCACAAAACCGAAAAAATATTTACTCTTAAATGCGAAAGGACTTGAAACTCTACTTCGTCTCTCTCATGATCATGATATCCTTCCTCAAATTAAGAGAGGTAAAGCCATTTATGAGTGTGGTCATTCCGTGGTCACATTTATTGTGGTGCATGTAAAATAAAACCTAGACTCGGACTGTTCAGAGTTTTTTAAGCTGATTCTCTGTGCGTTACACAGAACCATCAGAATCAAAGAAGATTTGCATCTGGGCCGTCCATTAATTACGTCTACAATGCAACAAATACCAAAATATAACGAATATCCCCCTTCATTAATAACAGATATTTTTTATGAGTGGCACTACAGGCACACTCTTCACCACTCTCCACCCCCATTTCGACATCATGGCGCAGTTGGCCAACATCCCGGCTAGGATAACCCTATACGAATTGTTGCGTCTTTCCAAGGACACAAGGAAAGCATTGCAAGAAGCTTTGAGCGATTCTGAAGCTTTTCTAACTCGGATCAAGCCATCCCTGCACTGTAGCAGGAGAGGGGGTGTGGTGGAGAGTGTGGTGGAGAGTGTGCCTGTAGTGTTATTTAGTTTCTATTGCTTGAGAAAATCATCAGATATCGGAGCTGATTTTTTTTATGCAAGAAAATGAAGCACTTTACCGTGCATTCAACCAAACATATTTGAAGTGATTGATATTTTAAGAATTATATGAAATTATGATATCCTAATAAGAGATTAAAAAGATTATAATCGGCACAATCCTTCCTTTAGAATAGGAAATTTTGACAAGTTTTAAAAAAACTGCACGTTGTCAAATTTTAAAGGACTAAATTGACATTTTGGTAGAATTCTAGTTTACTACGATCTTTTTTCTTTTACCAGTTGCATAATGTAATGATATCGATGTGAAAATTAAAAACTAACATGATTCTTTTTATACATATAAAATATAGATCTGGTTATTTTCTCTTATGGGGCTGTTTGGTTCGTTTCCTTGATATAGAGAAATGTAATTCCATATAAAGAAACACAAGTTTTGAGTTTTTCAAATTTTTCCAAGAAATAGATTGTTTTGCTTTGGTTCGCACATACAAGTTTTGAGTTTTTCAAATTTTTCCAAGAAATAGATTGTTTTGCTTTGGTTCGCACATAAAAAATGGTGGGAAACCAATGTATTTATTTTTCTTGTGTTTGGTTCGCATAGAAAAAAAGGAAAACTTTTGTAAACAAAACAGAGAAGGAAAAAAATCTGACGTGGCAGAGTTTTCATCAATTTCACTTGGTTGGGGAAGGAAATCGGAGAGGGAAAAAAATCTTAGTTGGCGACGATTTCAGCAGAGTTTTCTCTCTTCCATCCGAGCGAACCAAAGCAGCACAAAGAAATAGACGGAAACAAAAAAACTGACGTGAAGGACTAAAAATCTGACGTGGAGGGGTTTTCTGAGTTTTCCACCCTTATAATCGCGAACCAAATAGCCCCTATGTAAAACAATTAGAACAAATTAACGTAGAATGTCAACGTTTACCATAACTAATGAAAAAAAAATACAACATTGTAAATTTGTCCCTACCAAAAATATCGAGATGTTAATTTAGACGATATAATAAATGGGTTGTTCTACAGGGACCCCAAATCATAGGACCCAAGGGAGGACATGTGAGTTGTCAACTTCCGAGCGCATGATCAACTGTTTATGAATAGTAGATCATGTGCCCGGAAGTTGACACCTCATGTGTCCCCTCTTGGGTGTCATGATTTGTGTCCCTAATGAATATTTTCAAGAAATAACATACACCGTGACTCCAATGTGACTCAAAATGAAAACACACAGGGACCCACCCAAAGATTGTTGACACTTTTTTCTAAATGCACATATTAAAATCACGCCCACATATTGTAATACTCAAATAGCATAGATTTATTAAAGACACCAGAGAGAGAGAAAGGACACAGTTCATGCTTTGTGCCTACTTATATAAGAACCACATTCTCCTCTTCTCTCATAAACTTAAAACTCATTTACTTTTGCGAAGTAAAAAAGGGAAAACAAAAAAAATGGAAGGAGGGAAGAAAAGCATTGAGTCAGTTAGCCATTTGATGCAGGATGAAGAGAAGAGATCAAAGTTCAACAGGATCTGCGTCTTTTGTGGGAGTAGCTCAGGGAAGAAAGCCAGTTATCAAGAGGCTGCCATTGAACTTGGCAAAGAACTGGTAATGAGGGGGGGAAAGAGCAGATTCAATTTTGTTTTTTTTTTATTTTTTATTTTTTATATTTCTAGAGAGACCCATTTGAGATGTTAGCATGCTAATCCCGTTCCAGGCTTCAAAATTCCATCTTTATATGTTCCGTGTTGATGAAATAGTATTGTGTTTAATGGGTTTTGGCCGTTTTTTATTCTATTTTGATCTTATTTTACTTTATTTTTGATTTTTTTTTTTGGATTTTTAAGTTGAAGAGAAAAATATCAGGGTAGAACGTGGGAGTAATGTTGTTGGATTGCTAGCTGTAATCTGCCTGTCTAGTGGGCAGCTTTCTTGCATGATCTCTGTTTATTAATTTTTGTGATTATTTAAGGGATGGATTAAGATTAGTGTGTTATTTATTTTATTTTATTTTTTTCTAAAAAGAAGTACTTGTGTGGTTGTCTATGGGTTTTATTCCCGTTGAAATGAAAATCATACCATTTTGTCCTTCTCTAGGGTTTTAAGCAATTCATTGTGGTTTTATTTGATCTTAATTGCTTGATTTCTTTTTTAGGTGGAGAGAAACATTGATTTGGTGTATGGTGGTGGAAGTATAGGACTAATGGGCCTCGTCTCTCAGGCTGTTCATGATGGAGGCCGCCATGTCTTGGGGTTCTCTCTCTCTCTCTCTCTCTCTCTCTCTCTATCATTAGTAGTGTTTTTATGCCTTGAAAGGAAAAATGGATATCTTGATTTAGGTTTGTCAAGTAAAAGGGCATGGTGTATGTCGCATCTGTTTTGTTTTCTTTTGTTTTTGTCTATTGTGTGCATGTGTGTGTTGTTGTTGTTGTTGTTTTGTTGTTTGTAATTAGTCTTTTGTGTCATTTATTGGTTTAATATACTTAATTAACAGTGTTAGTTATTTGGTTGTAAATACCAGTTGTAGTTTCTCTCTCTTGTTTAGCATAATCTCTACTCCCTCTAAACCACAGTTATTGCTTGTTATGACACCAGGGTATCTGTAATCTGTTGCTATAGAAAAGATTTTGGTTTGGCCTATACATGCAACTTCATGCCTACATTAATTTATTTTCGAACGCATTCTTTCAAAAAAGTTGCATCACTTTTAGCTACTATGGACTAATTTTTTGATTTTAGTTTTTAATATAATACTTCAAAGGGTCAAAGTTATTGACCTTTCGTTACATTCCGATTTATTTACAGTCAAGTATTTTCTCTTTTCTCTATGCGTGCGGTGTGGTGTTAAAAGGTTTCTATTTATTATTCTTCTTTCTTTATACTTTTAAGACTGAACCTTTGTAATTAGCTACTATTGACTAATTCATTTTGTTCTCGTGTTTATCTTGTTGTTGTCTTGCAGAGTTATTCCAAAGTCTCTGATGCCGAAGGAGGTGGGTTTAGACCCGTGAACTACTCAAATTCTTTTTTGTTTAAGTAATTAACTTTCGATTTGTTTATCCTTTAGAAGATGTAACTCTTGACTTTTAAGACTATAGGATGTGCAGAGGGAGCAAAGTTCATACTTGAATACTTTTTATAAGGTGTATAAGATTAGGATGCCTCTTGTCCCATTCTTTGGCTTTTGGTTCATGTTCAAGCCTTTTGTCACCCCTTTGTATTAAACTTTTCATAGGAGGAAGGTACACTTTGGTACTTGTGTTGGGTTGTTAAGTTAGTTGGCTAGTTAATTGCACTAGAGTTTATTTAATCTATATAGGTTTTGTCGACAACCTCAATGAAATAATTTCAGTCACAAAGATCCTTTAAATGTTAAGAGCCATTTGTCTTTCACCTTATAATGCTCTCAATATTTGCTTTACGATGGAATTGAAGATTCTATAAGCTAGAATCTTATTCTAATCACAGTTAATATTTTATCAATATATTAAATTACCTTTGTCAGAAATTTCACTAGTGGGATCATTACTCAGTTTTATTATTGCTGCGGTTGGTTGTCTCCCCAACAACTACCAGTGCTCTTACTAGCTTCTTTTCATAATCATGTACCCATTTGCAAATGGCATTGTCCCTGCGCAATCATGTGCTAGCATTTGCCTTCATGTGGGACTAAAATTATCGAATGTTTCTCAATAGAATTTTCTGCTAATGATTAACAGATTACTGGAGAGCCTGTTGGAGAAGTTAAGCCTGTTTCTGACATGCATGAGAGAAAAGCTGAGATGGCTCGCCGAGCTGATGCTTTCATTGCTTTACCTGGTACAATTTATTTGCTTCGACCTTCACATTATTATTATTATTATTATTATTATCTTTGGGAACGAAGGTGGATATGAGGTCCTCGATTTTCTTTGGCAAGAGTTTAATGAAACATCTTTAGCTACAAAAGCAGAATTTCTTCAAGTCTTAAAATAGTTACTCTACTGAACTTTTCACATATCATATTTGTACTCTCATCACTGTGGCTCTCATATCTATGATTCGCCAGGCGGATACGGGACTCTCGAAGAGCTCCTTGAGGTGATCACTTGGGCTCAACTTGGGATCCACAGCAAGCCGGTAATAGCTTCTTATCCTTTCCATGATATAAAATTGCTAACACAAAGTTCACCTCAGCATCTCTTCCTGTTTCTTATAAGCCAAAACATCCCCTTCATGGATTTCTGGTCTATGCTTTACTTGACTTCTTCTACTACTAGTATATTAAGACAGATAATGTCTTCCTCCATGAATTCTGCATTTCTTGGAACAACTGTCGGTTGTTTGATGTCACCATCCAAAACTAGTTTTCTACTTTACTCTTATCAGAAGTTTGGGAGTACATGACTTATCCACTTCTATTCGAGGAGAGCCAATATAAAAAAGTTTATCCGAATTGTCGATACATCATAGTGTATTATGGTTTGGCATCTAAGAAAATGTAGCATGTGGTTTCTTGCTTGTATTTTAAAGTTGTGGACAAGTAGCTTTTTTCTTGCTCGTCTATCACGGAATTTGATTTTAATTGCCTTGATTAACACTAAACTAAGGGAAATTTTCAGTCAGGCCCGCGTTTCGCCCAATGACTTATTCGTACTCTTTATTTGTTTAATTGCAGTCAAAGCGACTGTTTATGTATCACGCCTAGCCTTTTTGTTACTTGTGAACCATCTGAAGAGATGCTTCCAACCTAAGAAAGATTGTTTGCAGCTAATAATTAATTATTTCAGGTGGGTCTTTTGAATGTTGATGGCTATTACAATTCTCTCTTGTCCTTCATCGATTTGGCGGTCGATGAAGAGTTTATCTCCAGCAAAGCAAGGCGCATCATAGTTTCTGCTCCTACAGCGAAGGAACTGGTCAGAAAACTGGAGGTGAATAATTACAAAATATATATCTTGAATAAATTCAATTCTTAAAAACACGAATACCAAAAATCAGTTTAAAAAAAAACAAAATTATTTCATATACCTGTCATCACCTGTGGCTTCTAATTCAATTTTGAACCATTTCTTTAGTAATGTTTGCTATAATCAAAATTGACCGGTAAACTGTTTTGCCAGGATATTGTATAATCAATCATCGCTGAAGTTTTTATTTTGTGATCTTAATGTTGTAGGAGTATGTACCACAACGCGACGAGCTGGTGGCTAAACTGACTTGGGATGTAGAGCCTGTGAAGATTGTAGCTGAAGTTGAACCTGGCATTGCATCTGCGTCTTAAACTCTTAAGCAGAGCTCTGCTCCTTTTGCTGCTAACAAAAGATATTTACTGCTTACAAAGTATATATATGCTCTGAAGCCTAGTAGGATATGTGGATGCTTTCAACAACAGTTAGGTGTAACTCTTCATCAATGTCATGGAGGAGGAAACAACTTTTTGGGGTTTTGGTGTTACACATGTTATGTTAATTTTTTGGACTATGATATAAGAGATGAATAGAAGCTGGTTTAAGTTTTTGAGCAATCAAATGTTAGTTGTTGCTGAATTTGGCTTGAAAAAGAAAATGCTTAGTTGGTCTAGTTGTACATTTTTGTGAGGTGGCTTCGTTTCAAAGTTACCATAGGGTCCTGACAGAGGATAGAACGTGGACGCTTTCAAATAAATTAAATGTTATGTTTTTATTTTTGATGAATAAATGTTGTGTATTTTTGAATAGATAGTATATGCTCAAAGCAGCAACTAAGATGCTTGCACAATGAATGGGCTATACCTTGTCATGATAAAAATCTAACCCCATCTCTGAAAAGTAGGGATGAAGTACAATGGAATTCAGTGATATTTCTTCCCTATTTGAAGCAATAGACTATATATCTTTTCATGATAAAAAGCTAAACCTTAAGTCTAAAAAGTTAAGAGGTAAAATATAAAGAAGTGTAGTGAAATCCCAATATTATTTCTCCGTTATCCGATTGACACGTGTCAGTTATTTAAATACGTCGTAGAAATGCTCCATATTGTCTTATAGGTGTTGTACGCATTCAAATGACAATGAAATGCTTCCTCTTAGACACCATGGGGTGTAGACGCTAATAAAAACAATTAGGAGTATTTAGTAGCTAATACCTATAGTATATGGCATATGTATGTAACTAACCCTAAAAAAAGCATGAAAAGAAGAAGAAGGATAATCTCAAAAGAAGAAAAAGGAGAAGAATATTCTTTTCAATTTTTGACGCTATAATTTTTCCACACTCAATTTTCCCTTAGTGTTGTACTTATTCGTGCCTCCTCTCCCCCCACCAACATAATCCTCAAGGGAGGACCACATCCTCATGCCCTTCAATAGATGTTGTCTCATTATAAGGAGCACATGATGCTTCTCTCTGAGCTCTTTGCCTCCCTTCATATGGGACTAACAATGGTGGACCCTAGCTACCACAAGCTTCTTCCAAACTCAAGAAAAAAAAGGATGGGCTCATTATTTTCCTCATTCTATGGATAGGACTTCAAATTAAACTTGGATTGGATATTTAGCTCCTTAATCTTAGGAAAGATACAAGGATTAGTGTGAGGACTTTTCCACACAGATTTCTTAATCCGGAGGTATTTCTTTTTAGACCAAGTGGTTGCGGTTTCTCGTGTTCATTTTGCCGCCAAAGGGCCGTTCACACGGAAAAGGATGGACTCATTATTCCTCATTCTATGGATAGGACTCCCAACTGTCATGATTCAATGCACTAGTCTGTGTATCCTTGCACTCGTGGAGTACTTGTAGTAGAGGAAACAAGGAAATAATAATAGTTTTAGGCACAATATAATTAAGAAAAGGAACCCATATGCTTATGATGGTAATATTTTCAGATAATTTTTTTCTCTTAATGTCTTAATAAAAGCTAACTCTTTTTGTTGCTTGATTTTTTTGTTTTGATCCCGTCAAATTAAGTACGTCAAATTTACCAAAATGTACTTAGGGTAGGCTATAATAACTTCATAATACGCTCATCTTTTCTTTTTCTGTGTGCTTACACGAAGAAAATACAGAAACGTAATATAATCTGACGAAACCAAATAATGGAAAAAATCATAGGAGGAGATTTTCTTTTACAATATAAAACCGCTCTTGCAGGATAAAAGAAGAAACTTAGGTCGTTTGCCGAACCCTCCAAACTGGCCATGTTTTTTCTTTAACAAAGTCAGAATAGAACCAATGAGGGGGTAGTTCAATTCTAGCTTGGTTAAGAGACTCTAAAATGGACCAAAAAAAAAGTTGGGCTAGCTTTGACCTAGCTTTTCTCAAGCATAAAACTCTACTAAAACTGGACCAGGTTTGAATCTGGCACAGTTTTAAAAGTTTGTCAAACATGTCGTTAGATTGGAGAGAAATTTGTTTGGCTATGAACATCCAACTAAAGTAAATAAAAAAAACTACCTTTCTTGGTATGTTATGTTTATTCTCTATTCTTTTGAGTTTATCTTTATGAATTTTTTTGGGCTAAATAGCAGAAAACCCTTTAACTTTGGACGATTATCAGGTAATCTCTCTTAACTTTGAAAATATCAGAATAC